CGGATGCGGATGCGGATGCGGATGCGGATGCGGATGCGGATGCGGATGCGGATGCCTATAAGGAAGTAAATGTAAATCCATATATCTGGTATCTGGTATCGATAGAGAGATTTTCCCGTTGACTTGAAGCAATTCTATGACTTATGAACTAACTTGATTGCAATTTCTTTGCTTAATCGATATACATATCGATAGGCATACTCTCTCTCTCTCTCTATCAGTGCAAACAAACCAAGGATACAATCTATTTGGAGGAGACGCCACCATCTCCAACACTCAGCTCCCTCTCTATCTGCTATATAGTAATTCGTTGATAATTGCTTTAGGCACTTGCGATTTGTTTGCTTAATCGATATACATATCGATAGGCATACTCTATCTCTCTCTATCTTTCTCTCTCTGCTTCAGCCTTCATGAAATCACTCATCAATGCAAACAAACCAAGGATACTATCTATTTATTGGACACGCCACCATCTCTAGCACTCCGCTCCTTATCACACGTCCTGGGCTGTCCTAGCGCCGGCTATAACAATAAGCATTTGTATTAATTTGTGCCTTGGTTGTTGCCATTTATTGACTTCCCGGTCCCGCTGACTATGATTAATACACTCGGCATTTTTTGTTGGCGGCGGCGGAGGTAGAGAGAGGTAGAGGCGGTAGAGGCGGCCCATGAAGTAATTAAATTTCTCGTACAAACAATGTACATGGGTCTTTAATGGGTTAACAATTAACCCATTGGTATGCGCCAGACATGGCTATCTGCTAAGTGCTCCACTTCTCTACCAATGCACATATACATACATATAGATATCTATATATATATAGATATATCTTTGTATATATATATATAAGTTGAGGCATTTAAATATTTGCCTAATTTTGCTTTAAAAATAAAGACTCTTACAGCATTTTTAGCACATTTTCAGCAGCAGTTTCAGGTGGGGAGGGGGCCTAGAGAGGCGGTAGGGAGAGTATGGGGCACCGTCATTGCTTAGCTGCCCCATTTGTGTTTATTATCAGGCATTCGTGTGTGTTTTTTTGTTTTTGTTTTCGTTTTCGTTTTCGTTTTCAGTTTGTTGCTGTGTTTACAACAACTTTTGCTCTGGCATTACGAATCGTAGCACTGATTATGCCCATCGACTATGATCTCTGGATACTAGATAGCTGGCCAGCTAGATGGACTCGTGATGCCAAAAAACAGACATCGCCAGCTACATTTTGAATCTAAACAGCAGCGCAGAGTGAATCGAACTTTTGGAATTCCGATTCGATTTGCTTATCTTAAAAAAACATATAGATATATAATATATATATATAACGGCGCTTACCTCACCGTAGGACAAAAACAATGCCCGAAACATTTCTGACGGCTCTTAAAATATATGAGTTATTTAAATTTTCATCAACTTTGGAGAGTGGAGAGCTCCACAGCAACAGCGAAAATGAACCCAATTTGATTTCGATTGCTGTTGCCTTTGCGCTTTTCTCTTTCGCCTGTTCGTAAAGGTTTTTCATAATTTTGATTTACTGTGCGTAGGTGGCGACAGAGAGAGAAAGACAGATAAGAAAGAAAAAGAGCAGCAGAGATTCTCGTGCTTATCTCTAGGTAAAGGATGAGAAGAGGCTAATGGAAGGAAGTAGACGAGACGAAACAAACAAAAGCGTGTCAGGATAGGAGATTTTCTATTCCAAAGTATAGTTGACAGAGAGAAATAGAGGAGAAATGGGCTTAGTAGACGAGATAGAAGATGAGCGAGTAAAAGAATGAAAATATAGCTGAAGCAAGTTAAAAGAAGTTATATAAAGAAAGATTAAAGAATATTCTCCCTCAGAAAGAATGCACAATGTGAGAAAAGAAGGGAGAAAGGAGATAATAGAAAGAGATAAAGGACATCAGAAATAAAGCTCTTCGGTAATAGCTAAAGAAAGATGAAAGGAAAGAGTTTAAAGGAAAGCGAGATGAAAAGATGACAAGAAAGAAAGATAGAAAATGTAATGAAGAGAGAGAGAGAGAGAAGAAGAGACAAAGATTTCTACTCATTCCTTTTTCTCTCAGTGCAAATGGGCCATTCAAGAATCAATTAGAGCAAACACAACTGAAATTTGTTTTACTTAAAGTACTAAGTAGAGCCCCAGTTCGCTAGCTTTTAAGTTCGTTTCTTAGAAAAGGGTTCACAAAAACCAGTTCCATTTCCCACTCCCAGCTTTGGCGGCCTTGGGCCCCATTGAATTGAACTCTTTAAGGTATATTTAGTGCCAATTGGCATAGAACAGAGAGCAGACGTCACAGGCGACGCGCACTTCTCGGGTCATTACGTGGGGGCTCTGCAGAGAGGATCCCATCATAGCGAAGCACTCGACCCATAATCGACAAATTTGACAAGCTGTTTACACGCCCAGACCCCAAACAAAAGCAAAAGCAAGAGCAAGACCAGAAAATGGAAGAAGGAACCCAACAACAACGACGACGAGTCGAGGCGACCTGCTTTGACCCGATAACATTTCTCGAAAGTATTTCGGGTGTGCGAGCGTCAGTCTGTGTGTGTATGTGTGTGTGTGTGTGCATTGGCATAAGTCGATCGTTTTCTTTATTCTTTATAGCCGTGCTTTCTATTTTGGTGGCACGCCAGCCTCGCCGCCCGTCCGGCCCCTGGCTAGCATTTGCTTGGCTGCATGCGAAAGCATTTGCTTTAATTATTCGAATTGGACATAAACAAAAGCAGCCAGCAATTGGCATTAGTGGAGGGAGGGGGAGGGGAGGAGGGGAGGCAAGCTGAAGCGCTTTGCTGTGGTCAAACGATAATTTGGCCCAGACTGTGAAACGTCAGGTGGCTCCGTTGCTGGGGCTCGCTCTAGACCTGATGCGAGGCCAAGGCCGTGAGGCGTCCGCCGCCAGCCCTATCTATGGCTCATCAATCACAGCGCAAACATTTCAATTGCTGGCAAATGTGTTGACAAAACGTCAGCAGGCTCGACGGCCGTGGTCCGTGTCCGGGAGCCCATACCGGGCGCCGCTTGTTTATTCGCGCGTCTCGCAACCCCTTCTGGGCGAACGCCCGCACATTAGCAACACGTGTCAAGTGCTCGCCTGCCCCGCTGCCTCCGTTGGCGTCGTCATTCGAGCTGCTGCTCGAGCATCTTACTCCTTCTTGGCCCGGTTCTCATTAACCCTGCTCCGATCTCTTTTCCCCGCTTAACGCCTCCTCGCTTCGACTCCGCCAGCTGTGGTCTCAGCTTCCTCTCATGCTGTCTGTCGCCTTCTCTAATACCTCTTGGCCTCCACCAGCTCGGCTGCCGCCCTCGCCTGCTTTCCCCCCTGCTTTCCCACTCGGCTGCACTTAATTACGCTTTTATGGAGCCATCCGCTACGCCAGCTCGCACCCATTGTTGTCGCAGTTGCATTTCGCTGACTTTGGCTTTCATTGCTGTCAGCTGAGTTATGAGCTGATGCAATTGCTGCAGCAGCCATTCTAAGCTGCCCTCCCAGGCTCCCTCATGTTGTCGCTCCCTAGTTGTTGTTGTTGTTTATGTGTCTTAACATTGTTTTGGACTTTTGTGAACCTCGTGGCTTCCACATGAGCTTGACTCGCTTGACTCACTTGACCCCAACGGCACTTGTGCTCCTCCCTCCATAGCGTTAGATCTATCTAGGGTCTGTCCGTTAAATGGAATTCGAAATCTTCTGTTTCATTCTAAATAAAGACTTTGGCTCTTTAATTCCTTTGTTTCTGGCATTGCTTCTTTTGGCTCATTTAGTTTATTATAAATATGATTTTTATTTTGTTTATTATGGAAAGTATTTGCTATTCTCTTTTGTTATATTTATAAATAAAGTATTTCCACACTAAATATGCAAAATGTTTGAATTGCTTTGCAGCTGCCCTGCTTTGCGGCTCATCATAATGGCAAAGAGTTGGCTACCAGCAGCTGCCCTCTAGGCTAATTGACCCATCAATGTGAATTGCTAGATCAGGCATGGATCTGCCTTATGCTTTGATCAGAATATTTTGCTTAGAGAATACTTTGCTTTGATCGATCGAGGGAGAGGGAGTGGGAGAGAGAAAGAGAGAGAGAGAGAGAGAGAGATAGAGAGAGAGACACAGAGAGAGAGAAAGAGAGAAAGAGAGAGACACAAAGAGAGAGAAAGAGCAAGAGAGAAAGTGAGAGAGAGAGAGATAAAGAGCGAGAGTTAGAGAGAGAGACACAGAGAGAAAGAGTGAGAGGGACACAGAGAGAGATTCACGTTGTCTATGTCTTATCTCTATCATTTTGCTCTCAGTTCTTCATTGTAACTTTTTCTGCCTTCCCTCACTCTCTCTCTCTCTTTTTCTCTCTCTGTCTCTCTATCTATATCTTTTGTGTCTCAGTATCCTCTTAGGTTAGTTATCTATCGTGTTTTCAATTTACCTCTATTACTCTATCAGAAAGAAGATTTTGGAAGTAGTTCAACCTCTTCCAATCTTCATTTATCTTTTGTCTTCTTCACCTAGTTATTCAATCTCTCTCTCCCCTTCTCTGTTTCCCTCTATTTCTCCATCTCACTCTCCGTCTCTCACCTTACCCTCCTCTCTACCTCTGTCACTATATATGTTTCTCAATTCTTACTCCCTTCACCCTTATCTCTCTGTCAATCGTTGCTAATCATTTCCCTCAATCATCTATCTCCATCTCCTGCTCTCTCCGTCTTGCTCAGAGTCTGCAGATTATACTCCTGTTGTGGCGCTAGTGTTCATACACAATTTAATTCCATTTCTTTTCTTTTTTTTTTGTTTACTTCTTTAATTTGTTTCTAAGAACGAGGCCCAAAAGTTACCTCAGTAATGAGAGAGCTTAGAGAGCTTCAAGAACTTTTAGGGTATGCATATTTGATCAACTCTCCGCCCACATGCGATTTATTTCCAATTGTTCTTTGTACATTGTTTTTTTCCCCCTCTACCTTTGTGTATGTGTGTGTGTGTGTATGTGTTTTTTTTACATTTTGTTGGCTATCTTGTTTTTGGTGTAATTCGATTTTTGCTGCTCCTTTTGCCTGATTTACATTTATTTGTTTACCTTTGTCTGCTATTTATTTGTGTGTCTCCTTTCTCTTTTCTGGCTTCCTCCTCTCATGCTCGTTAGTCAACTGAAATGCGAGAGTATATTGGTTTGCTTGCATCCGCTGCAATGGAACTCGACGACTTACCCGAACAACAGTTTGAATGTAATCGTTATAATGTTCACAAATATCAATGGAATCTTGGCAACTGTGCGAATCGAGCGAATTATGTGTAGCACCTGCTCCGTAGTGCTGGGCGGACCATACCGCCGCTGAGCCCTCCGTTGCTGCCAGCCAAATCTGGCCAGAAAACGCTCCTCGTGCAGGACGCAAATGGCATTTAGGCAAAGCAGCGAGGCCTCCATCAGTGCCCCCAGAGTAAACATTTTCACGACTTCTCAAGGAAAATTATGAAAACCTGAATTATTTTCGATGTCAGTTTTAAAGCAACTTTGCCTGAATGAATCAGTATATGAATTGAAGAGATTTCACATTAAATGAAAGTCTATGCCTGCTCAGCCTGGTCTCAGGGAGTGCTGAGATTTTTCCATTGGCCTACTAAGGTCCAGCTCATCGGGTATATTGACTACAGTCGCAACTCTAAATCCGCTTTATTGATGAATCTAAATATATTTGCAAGTGAATATGAACATGTATTCAAATTCACTTTTAACATTCATATTCAAAAACTATTTCAATGACTGAATTTGATTTGAGTATCAATATGAATGTACACAGAGATTCATGTTAATATTCATACTCAAATATATTCAAATGCATGGATATGAAGATTAATATGAATATGCACTTCTCTATGAATATGAATATGAAATTGTATTCAGATTCATGTTTTGTGTATATAAAATTGCATAAAGATTCATGCTAATATTCATACTCGAGCATATCAGAAATATAAGAATGAATATGAAATCTAATTTGAGTATGAATGTGAATATCTACTGAGATTTATGTTAATATTCATACTTATATTCATATATTCCAATGAATATGAATATGAATATAAATATGAATATGAATTTACATATGAATGTGAACATGAAATTGCATTCAAATTCATGTTTATATTCATACTCAAATATATCCGAGATCTAAGAATAAATATGAATATCTACTGAGATACATATATGTCAATATTCAAAGTATGAATTCAGATATTCCAATGAATGAATATCATTATAAATATGAATATGAACTTCCATATATGTATACATGAATATAAAATTGCATTCAGATTCATATTCATATTCTTACTCAAACATATCAGATACATAAGAATGAATATGAAATGCAATATGAGTATGAGTGTGAATATCTACTGGGATTCATGTTAATATTCATTAATATGATGAATATGAATGTAAATATGAATATGAACTTCCATATATATAAATATGAAAATAAAATTCCATTCAGATTCATATTCATATAAATCATAGATATAAGAATGAATATGAAATGTAATATGATGGGTATTATGCAGTCGGTTACGCTCATTCGCAATGCGTTTACACATGTTATTTTTTCTGGTTTTGCCATATACTCATTTGGATTCGAGCAGCTGTCAGCGCAGCTATCAAAAAGTCGCCCACATTGATGGCTTATCGATGGTGCGGAAAGTGTCTCCAAGTGTCATTCCCGGTGTTACACCTACTCGCACAGCACCGCCCCGTCCCGCTCAGCCGCTGCTCGTGGGAGCATTTCACGGTCCATTGAGCCGTGGCCCAAATGTACTGTGCATAATTTTTATTAAAAACAATTTTATTGCATATTTTACATATTGACATTGGCATGTTCGCCTTATTCGCGCATATTCACAATCTGCGATACGCATCCAGCGTTCGCCGATTGCCCCCAATACGATTTTCCATTTCCCATTTCCCACTATCCATCTGGCGGGAATGCATCGTAAAAAATGCTCCGCATTAAATGCAATCGTTAAAAATGATAAATGTGCAATGGCCAAGTGCGGCGGAACTTGGAACTGGAACTGGAGCTGGAGCTGGAACTGGCAATGGAATCGGCCAGACTGCCACTGGAACCAATTGTCCGAGTAAATTTGATTGCTACAAATAGCAATTCCATTTTCATTTCGATTTACATTTTCATCTTTAGTAATTATAGTAAACAGAAACAGATACAGATTGGCGCGCTATGCCTACAGCTACAGTAGTCACTCGATATGTACACACATTTATGAAAAAACAAATATATATATGAGCTTAAAAAGAAATTCCCTTTATGTGTTTCCTTTAACTTTCCCATACAATATCTATATATTATTCTATTATAAAATATTATATTTTAGTTGATCTCAATAGATATTAGTCTTACGATAACGGCTAATATCTCTACCAAATTTCAAGGTCACAGCTGCTTTCAGTGCTGAGTTCACATAGGTTTTATGTCAAATTAAGGGAGGCATCACTGGAATTTCAGTTAAGGATTTCTGCCTATTGCTCAAATACCCTAAGCATTTAAGGCAAATGCTTAACAGCAACTGCAATTTTATCTTTGTAAAGTGTATACGACTTGCAAATACCCTATAATAATATCTTATGTAAGAAAAACTGATATTTAGGATTTCTTCTAGTCAACTAAATTAGCTGGAATTTATCATATAAAGGCTCTCTGAATCGAACTAACTTTCAGAGTTAGAATACAGGGTATTTCCCAGCTCACACTCAGTCACACTAGCCTCTGACCTACTAGACTATATGATTTATTTGTAATCAAATCACAGTCGAAACTGTTGTTGATCTAAAATCCGAAAACTGCATTTTTCAATTTAGCAAATCAAAAATGAAATTGATAATTTACTCGACGTCTTCCGAAAGTATTTGGCCTTCATTGTTTGGCAGCGACTTTTGCTTGATTTTTGTGTATTTTATGAAATTTTCTATATATTTTCTTACTTTTTTTTTGCACTGAATCTAAATGAATAAACAGGGTATATAGGTTTTCGTGCTGACAGCAGGAGACGTGACCGAGATCCGAAATGAAATGAGTATGAATACTGTTGATCAGCAAGACACTGAAGAGGTGGCTAAGTTCTTATGCTCGCCTGTTTATCTGTGTATAGGTCACATATTTATAATATACAGTTTTATTGGATATCATATAATACTCGTTTTATCTATATTACTCATAAGAATCCACAATAGTTTCTTTTTGCCTATCTTGAACAAGCTAAGTCGACCTGTAGAAAACAAATTTAGTCTGAAGATATCTTTGATGAATGATAACATTGGTAATATTTTAGATTTCACTCAAAATTGGAAAGAATTCCTTATCTTGAATGGTATATAATCATATTAGAATGTCTGAAAACTTCATAAAGAATCAATCATGCTCAGCTTTCATAGTGGGTATTTAGCAGGGTATTTAGCAGTCAGGCAAACCCCTCGGGTCTAATTTGTGTCTATTTCCCTCCGACTAACGCAAACAGTTCAGTGTTTGTAAATATTATAGGGTGTGAGTTGAGATTGAAATAATTTACATTGGGATTTCAGCTCGAAATAAAATACTCGATCAATACATGGAGGTATTTGATCTGCTCTATATAACGCTATAAATCAAAGAGCTAACAATCTGATAATATCTTCTTCTACCTCACTTATTCACTCTCTCTCTCTCTCTTATTCTCTCCCCTCTGCAGCACTCTTAAGCCTGAGCATTCTCTCTGCGCTGCTCTCGCTGTCGTCTGTGACGTGGGCCAGCGTGGAGCAGTCAAAGTCGGCCATCAAGGCCAGTGTTGGACAGCGCCAAGTAATGCTCAAGCTGAGCAGCAATGCCATGGACAGTGAACTAGACACCGAGCTGAGCGCCATCGACACGGACATACTGCTGCCGGACGACAAGGACAACTGCCCGGCGGGCTACTTCCACTGCAACACGACGGCGCAGTGTGTGCCGCAGCGCGCCAACTGCGACGGCCGCGTCGACTGCGACGATGGCTCCGACGAGTGGAATTGCGTGAATAACTTTGAGGCCAAGTACTGGGATCATTTGTTTCGCAAGAACTCGTTCGGACGCCAAGGCATGGATGACAGACCCATTGGCGAGTGCTGTGAGTATTCAATACTCAATGCAAGGTCAGAGTAATTTGGCGCCAGCGGTGCGAGTGGCGCCAGCCGATGCCCCCCCGCTCGCACATTGTCGTTCTCTTTCTGTCTCTATATCTATCTATAATCATAGAAATTCGCATGTAAATTTTTTGCATTCAGTTTTCATGCGTTTAATTAAAAGAGTCGAATGATAATTATCCTTGATGCGCACATCAAGTGTAATGGCCACAGTGAGGACTCTTTTAATGCAATTTCTCTTTCATTGTTTACTCTCGCTCTCTCTGCTGCAGTCTGGCCGAATGCGAAGAACTTCAGCTGCCCGTGTCGCGGCTACGAGATGCTCTGCCGTTTCCAGCAGCTCACGGCGCTGCCACCCCAGCTGCCCAGCAACAATCTGGAAACGCTGTAAGTATCGGGTAACCCCCTTTAATGTGCTAAGAACTTGAGCTATGCAGCTGCTTGCTCAGCAGTGCAACTCATTTAGCCTCTGTCTGGCAAAGCCAAACAGTGTTGGCTAACTGCATGAATTCATATGTACATTATGTATTGCTATAAACTTGTTTATTGCCAATTTCCCTCAGTGTATTTAGTATTCATCTTGATTGCTGCTGATGGCATTTGAATTGATTCGGCTCATCTCATTCGGTTTCATTTCCAGCGACCTCACGGGCAACAGTTTCGGCCTCATCGACGCACAGTTCTTCAGCGGCCTGCCCGATGTGGAGAGTCTGTGAGTATTTGTAAAGGATATTAAGCGCGCCAAGCACATATTTGCTAAGAGAATCGAAATTCAAGCAGCGTCAGACCAACTGCGAATGCAGCTCGAAATTTGTGAATGGGTCCTGCGGAAAGTCGTCTATTAGCGTCCTTTGCTATACTTAAAGCAGCCTCAGACATCCCATACAATGGCTGTAGAGCCTTGTAAAGCAGGGGAGTGGGGGTGGCTGTGCTCTGGCATGGCAGACAGCTCGTATCGTGTTTTGCCGGCAGTTGCAGTTTATGTGAAGCTATGCCAAAGGACACTTCTCTACGACCACGGCGCAAGCCGTAAAATCGTTTTAACATACGACGAAATGTGCCTCGCTTCGTTAACACTGCAAACAAATATGCAGGGAAATGCCCGAAAATGTAGCCACAAATGAAATTATAGCGAAGCTGTTATCAAATTTATTTACTGGAAGTGGAAATCTAATAGTATGTTTCGTAGGGAGAGAGACAGAGAGAGAGAGAGAACGGCAATCGGGCAGAGCGTGGGAGAGAAGCGAGTAGAGTTTCGTAGCATAATATCTGTTGGAGTGTAACTGATTATTTGAAGCGCTACTCGAATTGAGGACTTCTTAAGAAATTAAAGACGTCTAGAGGCAAAAAGTGAGATAGAGAGAAAGAAAGA